AATAATAATTAAAGTAAACAAAATTATATAACCTTTATATCATAAGGCAACACCATAATCACACCCATCTAAATTTCGCACTTAAGTCAATTAGCATTGGTTAATAACTGGTTAACGTGTAATATGGTTATGAGAGAAAGACACTTGTTGAAAAAGAAAAACCTATATTAATTTTTTAAAATAAAGTAAAATTAGAAGTTAACTGTTATATATAAAGTTTATACAAATAATATTTCTAATTTATATGTTAGACCAAAGTAAATAACATTTACATGATGTTCATAAAATAATAACACTAACTAGACACATGTTGTAGGAATGAGTATTAGTATATTTATTCTACATTTATCCAAATTGCACCAACAGCCCCTAGTGGACTGGTAATGCGCATTAACACCTTAGTCGATGCCAAGGTTTCGAGTCCATATTGGGACAATTGTAATATTTCATAATTCCCTTTAAAATTTCCCTTTGTTCAAAAAAAATTTTTATATGTTAGACTAACAGTGATTACCTTATTAAGAACATTCTTTTCGAACTTGGCCCAACTTAGTTAGTTTAATTGATTGAATCAAATTTGGTTTAAAAAATGAATATAATTATGATAATAACTTATTTGAAGTCAAATTTGATCAACACCCATTCAGATCCGGTCAAACTCATCCAAATCCAATCAACTTAGTTGACCAAAATTGATGCAACTTTTTTTTTTTATATATTTTTTTCATTTTTTTCATTTTTCTTTAATTTTTATATTTTTATTTCTTTCATTCATAGATAATGTAATAATGATTAAATATCAATTTTGGTCCCTTAACTTTAAGATCTTACATAATTTTCATCCTTCAATTTTTTTACACCTTTTTAGTCCCTCAACTATGAAAAATATTTTTTTTAGTCCTTCAATCAATTAATCTGTCAAGTTTATCTAAATATGCATATTTTTCATTCCTTAACTGCATATTTTTAGCCTCTTAACTTAAAGTTAAGAAATGAAAAATGTGCATATATTAAAAGTTGAGAGATTAAAAAACTGAATGTTTAGAAAAACTTAATGAATTAACTGATAAAATGACTAAAAATGTACATTTTTCATAATTAAAGGACCAAAAAGTGAATAAAAAAGTTTAAGGATGAAAATTATGCAAAACCTTAAAGTTAAGGGACCAAAATTGACATTTAATCTATAATAATTAAATTGTAAAATCTATTTAAAGTCGAATCACAATTAATAAATCAAATATTTTAAATTAATTTGGATGTAATTTAAAATTAATTGTTATTTCATATTGGAGAATGATTTTAATTTAAAATCAAATCAATTCGATTTTGAAAATAAAATAAATAACTACTTTATATAATGAAATAAATAAAATCAATTTAAAATTAAAACTAATTTTAAGTAATTTTGGAAATAAAATCAATTGCTACTTTAGATAATAAAATGAATGAAATCTTTTTTAAATTAAAATTAAATGAAA